TTTAAGTTAATTATATATTTATTTTTTTATAATATTTTGATTGCAGAATGAAGCTTTGTTAGTAGATCTTAACATTATAAAGAAAAAATATGAAGAACAGGATAACGAGCTTAAACGCATAACAGAAGAATTTAAAATTGAACTGAACAAAAGAAACAAAATTCAAGAGAATTTAAATGAAATAATTCAACAGTTGGAAGTACAAACTGCACAAGTAACTATATTCCTGTTATTTTTTTTTATTAATGTGATACAGTAGATGCCTGTGTGTGTATGTATGTATGTATGTGAGGCACATATTGTGAATTGTCCCTGTTATATTTCTTCTTTTTATTATAGCTTTCTACGGATAAAGCTAATTTATACAAAGAATTAAAAATAAAAGAAGCAGAAATGAAAGATCTCGTGGAAGTTATTAACCAAGTTAATTCGAATAATTTAGATATTGAAAAATTATACGAGGTATCTCATGTCAAAGCGGAAGCATCTCAACTTTTAGAGGAAAGAAATGATTTAAAGATACGTTTAAGTGAAGTAGAAGGAGCGCATAGTCTATTAGAAGGTAAGAAATATTATTGACAAATAATATCTTCTTTTTGTGTGATAATTCACTTATATATTATATTAAAATTTTGTATAGAACACATGAAACTTGTTAAGGAGGAAGTATCTTCGCTGAGCGAACAGTGTAAAGTTGCCGAAAAGGAAAAACGAGATGCAGAAACACGGCTTGAAGTTATATCTAACTTTTTCAAGGAAAAGGAAGCTCAACGACAAAAGTAATTTAATATTATATATAATATTTATGACAAAAGTATAACAACGTTAAAAGTTTAACGACAAGAATTTCATACAATTGTGTGTAAACAAATTCACAATTGTCTTAAAGTGATTTATTGCTAAGATGGATTTATGTTCCTCTTAAAAAAAACAAATCAATAGAACAATCAACACATTCTATTTTATAATAAGTTTATATTAAATGTTCTTATTAATAAAACTTATATATCGTACAATATTATTTCAGAGAAGAAGCATTATGGTTGCAAAAGCAAGGTGAAGTTACTTCTACCGTAGAAAGAATACAAACGATGCAAAATGAAATACAAGGATATAAGTGAGTATTAAAATGATATAAATATGAAAATAATTTTGTACTTACTTGAAAAATATTTTTGTATTAATTTAATAATGACAGGCAACAAATAGAAATGCTGAAACGTGAAATAGTTGATCAAGAAAGGGAATATAAAAGTCAGATAACTATTCTTGAAACAAAGGCACACGAACAATGGGTTAGAAAAATTCATTATTTATTTGTTTAATTATATTATAGAAGTAAGTATCTTACCAATGTAATTGTAATACATTTAAATAGTTTTCTTGTGTTTTATAATAAGGTAACGGCACGACAAAACGAACGTCGTTTAGAAGAATCTAAGGCAGAAGCAGGACAATTACGTAATCGTCTTACGCTTATAGAAAAAAATCTAAGCGATGCGGATGGCGATACAAAATTACATCGTAAGTATTTTATTTAAATAAACAACAAAAGGAAAATTTAATGAGAAACCACTGATAAAAATCATATTGGAGATGCTATTTTAAAATGATCAAAATATTCTCTAGTAATATTTTTACAGATATTTCTTTTGAAATTTTTTGTTTATTCGTGTTAAATTAATAATTGTTTATTGACAATCTTCATTTATTACATAAAACGAAAAAATAGATTTTTCAGAGAAATATATTTTTGTCACACAAATTTTCTATTTAAATGATAAATATTCATCATCAATTTCGTAGTATTAATATTTACAGATTATATGATATGTGTATATATATATATTAGAAGCACAGTTTATGAAAGGTAGGCATTGTAAAAAATGCCAAGGCAATATTTAAAATGAGTCTAAGGATACTGGTACGGATTACTGCTCTGTTTTAAGTAAAAATAGAACAAAAAAATTATAGAGGGAAAAAATTGTATAGCATAATAATAATACGTCGTAACTTTTTCCTGACCTTATTTTTTGTGTGGATGCACCGGTGCACCCGCCTGGTACAATAATTGGACTTTATTTTTTAAAATGTAACCTAGTTTTTTTTTTCTTTTTTTATAAAAGGGATCTCTTTTATTATTCTGCGTGTAAAAGTAGTAACTCAAGGTCATTTAAATGTCAATACTTTACATATAAAATTTTAATTTGTTTCGCGTTATGATAAATCGTGTTGAATGCAAGTTTTTCTGGTATAACGCGATTTTAAAAAACAATTTGTTTCGCAATAATTTACAATGATTTCACAAGAAAATATATATGTAGGTTATAATAGAAGCTCTTTTTCGTAAAGTATTCTTATATATAATAATAATGTTTAAAATGAAATATTAACAGTTTCATACTTTTCCCAAAAACACCAGATATTCTTAACAATGTCTGCTTTCATACATTGCCAGTAACATATATATATATATAAAGTTACTATATAGTATCATAAGTAATATAAGTAATATAGTAATAATATAAATAATAACAGTAATGTTACTATATATATATATATATATATATATGTATACACACACCATGTAATCTGTAAAACATTATTATAATGTTAGTAATAAATATTGCTAATTTTGATATTCAATAAAAATTAGCAATATTTATATCCATTACAGTTGGTGCATCTTCTTTTAAGTATAATACGATGGTATATAAGAATATATAAAAGGTTATTTATTCGAAATATTATATATATTATTTACACGCTAATGTTCAAACAGGCTTGGAAACAAATGGAGAGACTACAACGTCACCTCCATTATTCATAGGCGCAGAATCATCCAGTTCTCCTATAATGTTTACTGGTTCTTCAGGTGTTCCACCTCCACCACCACCTTCATTCATGCATCCTTCGCTTTTCCCTACATACCTACCACCACCTTTGCCTTCCGCCTCAGGATTACCACCTTACGATGTTGGACAGAGACCACCGCCTTTGGGTGGTAGATTATCTTCTCCGCCTCCTTTACCATTACATCCTCATCCACCTGGCAGGTATGACAACGCAGATTCACCGCCACCTTTGATATCTCCACCTTTGTTACTTCCTTTCAATCATAGATCGCATCCACCCCCTTTTGCTAATGATCATATGCATCCTCCTCCACCACCTCCCCCACCTGGTTCAATATTACTACCACCCCTTGGAACGTCGCATTCATGGGGGGAAGAAACACTGCAGGCCCCGCGCAATTCTGGTTATCACCCACATCAGCGAGAACAACGTGCTCGCAACCACAAAGGTTCGTGCTAAACATGAGCATCATCTCTACCAGCAACAACGTTCCAAAAGGAGACAGTCTTTTTTATATATACATTTATTCCCAATCTTTTTTCCACCCCTCTCTTCTATCGGGTCGCTACTTTTCTTTATTCTTTTTCTTCACTATATGACTGTCATCTGCGCTCTTCTTTTGTGCATGCAAGGACGCAAACGTTTCTCTAAAGTTAAACAATTTTGGAGTACTATGGAAAGGAATACCTCCAAATAAAATCAAACGAGTCAGGTTAAATAATTTCAGTTTGATTTTTTTTTAAATTATCATGCTAGAAAAATTGGATATTTGTATTTGCTTTTCTTCTTTCCTCCCTATTCTTTCTTTCTTTTATTTTTCTTATTATTAAATCCTTATTATTAATTTAAGTAAAATTCTTTTATGAAAAAAATTATTATTATTATTATTATTATTATTATTATTATGCTTCTAATCGTAATATTTCACTTATATTACATTTTGTCTACGAAGTAGTTGTACTACATATTATTAGAATACATTTTATATTTATCTGATATACTTTTTTGATAATGAAATATATTATTTATTTGTAGGTTCCTTGCACTCGTCTGGGGAGTCATTGGATAAGTCACATCATAGTGGAAAAGTATAAATTTTATATTTTAGTCTATAACAACCCTATAAGAAAGGCCAAATCTATTACTATTATATATAGTGACAGATTTATTGTATAACAATTTTCAATAAACATTTCACAAGAGAGAGCATAGTATATAATATATACTATGAGTCTCTTTTAAAGCATTTATATCTCCCGTTGAAGTTAATATAAAAAAAAAAAAAAAATAATGAAAAGAAGAAAAGGAGGAGAGGGGAGGGGGAAATGCAATAAATAAAATAAAATAGAAACATCGCATTTTTTCCATTAGGACATATTTTGTTAACGTTGTTTATTATCCGATTAATCGTATAATAAATATTATACTTATTATCTTAAGAAATTTCTTAGAGAATTTTTTACCACATTGCCATACTTATGCTAATTTTCAACAATAATTACATATATCATTATAATAAATAAAAAATGAGAATATTTAAAAAAAAAAAAAAAATTAAACAGATTGCTATACATCATTCCAAAGAATCAACAATTTAAAAAAAGAATCAAATTTGATTTAAAAAAATACATTCTACTATTTTTTATTTCGAATATGAAGTATGATAAAATAAATTTATTTAACTACAATATTATTTTGAATATTTAACTCGGCATAAGTATAACACTACAGTTGTTATGATTTTAATTGATTAAAAATAAATAGTAATTTATTTTTAAAAATATATCCATAAATTTATCATCAAATAATTCTTTTCATACATTTTTGTTTCTTCTTCTATATATATATACAAAATATCTAGGCTTTTTTTGTTTTGTCAATATAAGCATCGCATATGTCGTATAAAATTCTAAGATAGCATCATTTTCTGTTTCTCTTTTTAAGCACAAGCAGCAACAAAAAATAATTATATATAATTATTATTTAAATTTACAAATATGAACACTTGTTTTCCACGTTAAGTTATTTTTTTTTTTCTTTCTTTCCTCTTATATCTTTTTATATTTATTTTCCAATATCAGAAAAGTCCCTTTTATTTATTTTTTTACAATTACAGTTAAAAACTAAGTATTTCTTCATTTTTTCAATTAATATTTAATCCTCGTATAACCTAATAATTTAGTAAAAGTATCAAGGAATGCAATTGAAATGTTATTATAGTTCTATGTTACACGTGTCTCTCTCATAAAAATAAGATTTTTGTTTGAATTATATTTGCTGTGTGTGTGTGTGTATGTATCACAAGTACCGAATACCAATATTAAAAAATAGAGAATTGATAAATGAGAATAGATACAGTTGAACTAGAAAGTATCATCTTTATGCCAAAAATACTACGAAAAAGATGAAGAAAAATATGAGTACAGCAAATATCTTAATCATCAACCATCTATTATTTGTCACGGATTGAAAATATTTTAATATTTCACTATGCGCAGCTTCCACATTTAATTCGGTATCTTCTATATTGCTATCTATTCTGTAATATAATTAATACATATTAATTATTGTATAAACATGATCCTTCCCCCTTCCTCATAGGAAAAAAATCCTAGAGAGAAAAGACCTTTAGAAAAAATGTGATTTTTTTCTTACCTTTCTACCATTTCTTCCTGTTCTTTAACCATATGAGCCAATTGTTGAAAAATACCACCTAATTCAACTATAGTCGATTCAATATTTTGCATAGTTTCTGCGCGTGACTGAACGTATGAGTCCTGAAGACAAAAAAAAATAAATAATTTTAAATTAATTATATCGATACTACTCTTCTTATTCTTTTCAATGAATAATAAATAAGAAATATATTAGGGGTATCGAAAAGTAATCAAAATTTCTTTGATGAGTACACTCACATTTAGTTTGTGTCAATAAAATATCGAAGGACTTTTTAAAAAGGGAATTGAACAATTATAAATTAACAATTAAAATTTTTTTAATAAATGAATGTTTTTCGCTAGCAAAGAAAAATTTGGATTACTTTTCGGTCCCCTTAATATTTACCGTATCATCTTGTAGAATTCGTTGCATAGACAATTGACCCATTGCCGGTTCAAGATCTATAGCAACCGAATTGGATTCTTGTTCTTGAAGTAATAAGGAACCTTGTTTTCCAGAAACTACGCTAGGAGGTAACATAGTTGATACAGATCCTTGTGAAAATTGTTGTCTTCTGGTTTGTTCTTCTCTCATATTCTATATACAAAATAATTCATTTCAATCGTATTATTTATATATATAATTGTAAATAATATATTTTTATAATGAAATTAAACAGATACATACTTCGGAACGAACTTCCAAGACACTTTTGAAATGATTAGACATATTTGCAAGTTTTGATTGTAGGGCCATCACTATGGACGAAGAATGTGAAGCAATATGATTTCCTTGAGACGAAGAGAAACTTTCTCTTTGCATTTTTCCCATATCTTGTAACTTTCCTATTTGATGATTCAAACTTTTTAAATCTGTCTTTATTATGTTAGTTAATTCTTCAATTTCCATTTGTCTGTCGTTAAAGATTGATTTCTTTTTGGCCACTAAAAAAAAGAACAGTATAAAGAATCGCTTTCCATTTAAATCATACTCTTACAAACATATACAACGAGTCACAGGGAGTATTAGTAACACCTGTTGTCAATTTAATTCCTAATTGTTTTATGATTTATAAATTCCAATGGTGCGTGCCCATAATAAATGATAAGATCAGTTACAGACCATTTAACGGTTTGGTTAAGCATTTATAGTTGTATAAATTGCACATGTTTTATGATATCTAAAACTACGAATTTGATTAGTATTGTTTACAATTGATCTAAACAGTATATTATAGCTTTTACTTATAATATTTTTGTCTGGACCTAATTTCTTTACATATCTCACATGACATAAGCGAAGGGATTAAAATAATACAATATTACATTATTCTTATATAAACAGTAATATATTTTGATTATTAAACTTCTAACACATTAAATGTGATGCTAGTCCCTAAAACTGGCCTAAAACTTTTCGTTTGGATTGCATCAAATTTACCAATGATTGATATTCTTATGTCATTCTATGGGTGACAGATTATTGTGGCTTAAAACGAAAAGATCAACAAAAAAAGGATTGCCATTTAACATGTTAAATTGATATAAATTTGATTGTTAAAATATTTTATTGTTTAATTCTACATAAATGATAAGAAAAAATAGGTTTCCACAAGAGTACTGTCTCAAAAATATAATAAGGTGCAAAGAAGGGTCAACCGAATACTATTTATGAAAATAATAATTGTATTGTACTATATTTTGGGTTTTGTATTATATTTCTATTATATTTTATGTAAACAAAAATACTCTAAGTAATTGTTTATTATATAATACGTTAATTCATGGGGGGTCAGTTTATAGGAACTAATAGCAAACTTTTACGGTTTCTCTTGGTAATCATCTTTTAACAATTCCTCGTCTGATTATTTTTTATTTATACTTAAGATACTTCTAATATTGATTGTCATTATTTGTTTAGCTCAAACAGATGGTAAAACATAATTGTCATTGCAATGCGTATTATGTTCTGTTTATACTTTATAGCTGAACGCCTGATTGCATGATCATTACTGTGTTGCTTGAGCAGAAATTAGACTCCAAAAATTTGAAATCATGCTCAAAGAGAGAGAGCGTTAGTACAACTATATTTCTTTAATAATAAAATGTTTTGCAATCAAATTTATATCAGTTTGAAAGATTATTTAAAATCTACAAGTGAGAGTAGTGATTATGAATACTTCTGTGACTCCATTGTACGTTCTTTAATACAAATAATTACATTTGTATCATTATTATTATTTCTAAAATAAAAAATCTTTTACACGTAAAGGGATATTTCATATTGTCTCAAAAAGTTGATTATAATTAAACATATGGATGAAATACCTGGAAAGCTACATATCATAAGAATAAACGTAAACATGTACTAGATTATCATTTCAATAAATATATAAACATGTAAACTTAATATTGAAGAAAAAAAATAAATAAAACAAATTAATCATAAAATACAAAGTCTAAGTTAAAGTATAATAAAACGTATGGTAACAAAGTAAAATGATATACTTAATATATAAACTGTCAATATAATTTGTTTCTTACATAGAGCAAGTTTCTCCAATTTGGTATAAGTGTTTGCAATGTTTTTCCCAATACTTTTAACAACCATCATAAAATTGGAATAATTTTGCATTTGTCTCGCCCTTCTTGGATTTTGCAGGTTAGTCGTTCTAACGACCGTTCTATCCTGCATCGTTCTTATAGTATTAATAAATTCGTTAGTTCTATCGCGAGCTGTCATTGTTATTTGTGGTGGTATATCACGTTGTCTTAAATGATTCTCTTCTAAACCACCGACATTACGAGTTTCATCGTAATATTGTTGTTTCTTTTCGTTACCTCGCCATTCACTGTTAGAGGTTGCAATCACTAAATCATTTTCTGACTCGTAACCAACGTGTCGTCTACGTGCTGGCATCGCATCCTCAAATGTTTTACGTATTCCTATTTTCAGATTTTCTTTATTATAATAATAATGCCTATCTCAAATTTGTAAGATTATTTTACTTATAATTCCTAATACACACGTACACATGACAGTTTAATTATCAAATTCACTTTATAACACATATCATAATCATTATGGTAAATGTCATACGTTCACTATTTCTATCTCTCTCTCTCTCTCTTTCTTTCTCTTTCTTATTAATAAAAAAGGAGTATCTGCACACGTGGTGTTACAATTACCAACCTTTGATAAATTGAAAAGATTTGTTACTAACCTATGTACGTGTTTGGAAAAAATAATTGAAGAAATACTTGATTACATTCATTCAATTTGTTTTCTTTGTATTTTTTTCTTTTTGTTAATAAGAGAGAGATTTAAATGCATATAATGAAAAATATTTTTAAACACAAATGAATATTACAAACTTTTGAAAATTTTCCAAATTGGCGCTCTTATAAAGTTACGAATCTTTCTAAAATATTTTCAAAATCAATAAAATTTTGATTGATTAACAAATATGATTAATTATTAACTTAAATTATTAGTATTATTACAATATAAATTAATAGATAATTGTTTATTTATTTATTTGTTATTTTATTCGAGAGATATCAAAAGTTTCTTATTGGCTATTCTACAATAATATATATTTTCTTATCTACCAATTAAAAAATAACTAGGAGTTTGGACCAATCAGGTCGATGGAAACAGTTCATATACCATTCTAATATATCATTAATATTTAGATCATTGTATTAATTAAAAAAAAATTAATAATAAAATTAATAATAAATCTATAATAATTATTATATATTTATATAATATTTAATATAAATATTAATTATATACGAAGTTCCAATAATTTTTTATTTTCTTGACGAGGATCAACCAATCAGCGTCAATATTTGTTTTAAATATGGTGATCATGTATCTATCGTATTAGCAAATGGTGATCGTATATCGACTATAGGAGCACGTGGCTTGTTGGAATATTGCGGTACATGTTTTTATTCTGATGTGCAATTAAATATCACTGTAAAAGTATTTAGATTTTAATTTAAAATTGAAATTTGACGTGCGAAAGAAAAGACATATATTTTAAAATGATAAATAATACTGAGAAAGGAAAGAAACGGCAAGCCGAAGATAATGCTATGGAGGTACGTATTAGAGGTTATATTTTCTTTCCTCTTTGTTATATTTCATGTATTTATTGTATTAAACTGGCTTATTATTTGAAAATGAATTTATTAGAATATTATGTAATAGGTTGAAGTGGTAAATGGTATTGAAAGAAAAGTTAAATCTGGATCTCCTGCTAAAAAAATCAAAAAAGTATATGGTGAACTTCGAAAGGTACATTTTGGTTATGTATTATAATAGATGTAATATAATGTAGTTTTAATTTAGTATATTATATAAAAAGGAGGTGTAATAATTGAGTGATATTTTGTAGATACCTGTACCTGCACATAGGTATACTCCGCTCAAGGAAAATTGGATGAAGATATTTACTCCTATTGTCGAACATCTACAATTACAAATACGTTTCAATTTAAAAACAAGGAACGTAGAAATTCGTACTGCTCCTGAAACCACTGCTATTTCCAATCTTCAAAAAGGTGCAGATTTTGTTAAAGCATTTATATGTGGCTTCGAAGTAGAAGATGCTCTAGCTTTATTACGTTTAGATGATTTGTTTGTCGAGACATTTGAAATTCAAGATGTAAAACCTTTAAAAAGTGATCACTTATCTAGAGCTATAGGAAGATTAGCAGGCAAAGGAGGTAGAACGAAATTTACAATTGAAAATGTTACAAAAACAAGAATCGTTCTAGCCGATACTAAGATTCATATACTTGGATCTTTCCAAAATATACAATTAGCTCGTAGGGCTATTTGTAATTTAATATTAGGAAGTCCACCGTCCAAAGTGTATGGTCATTTAAGGAACATTGCTAGTAGGGTATCTGAAAGATTGTAATATTATATAAGAAATTGTATAAAATGGTTTCTTTTTTTGTATATATATATATGTAAATATATAGGATTTAATTCTGTTTTATAATATTGATATTTACTCTTAAAAACTTAATTCTAATATAAGTTATAGTTTCTAAAAAATAGCTCGGAATAATTTAATAAATGCAATATTTAATTTAGAGAAGTATTTGGTATTTATATTTTCGGGGCACTTTGTTTATAACTAATCTACCATCATAACTCAACGAAGCAAATGTCCAAGGATCATCAGAAGATCATTCAACTGCATAAACACCATCCTCGTGTGTTTTGTATCTTTCAACAACACCGTTTTCCAATCTAAAATATTTATTTAATTGTATAATAACATTATACAACACCATAAGATTTCCTTTGAAATAGTATTTAACACGTTGACTGTTGTCCCTTGTATTTTATGTGATTTGAAGAGAAATCTTCAATAGATTTATCTGATCAAATAACTGATTATAGTTAAAGATTATATTTTATCAAACAATTACATATAGGAAAAACGTCATCACAAGTAATGTATACTTACTTAAATTATTTTTGCGTATTCTATGTAACATTAATTACTTCAAATCTTTATAAAAAAAAAATGATAATAGAAAAAAAATTTGCCATTATCGATATTTAATCTAATTATGTTTTTTTTATTATACTATTAGTAGCGTCGACGGTCACCGGTAGCCCTCACGGCAGGAATGTATTAATTGATTAATTAACGGTTTGAAAGATCTTAAGAAAAGTGAATAATTTTGAAGAATTGAAATATTTCGAAAGTAATAATTTATAATAAAGATTAAAGGATCGTCGAATGAGTTGTTATATGATATGATCGTCATTTAATAGCAAAAATTATTATTTTACCTAAATACTATTCTATAATCTAAGTAAAAAAAATCACACAAAATAAAAAAAGTTTTATTAAGATCGGTTCAGTTTTGAAGTTCATTGGAAACCAACAATGTGACACTGACTTTTTATATATGAAAATATATATATGAAACACATACACATAAGCGATAGTAAGTGAATAAGAAAGACTTAGAATCGATCGGTCAACCCAAGGATTCCCCCATACGATTAGTATCTCTTGTATTGATCAACGGTCATTTTACTTGCGCATGATTTTACACCTTTCAATAATCTATGATTTATTCGAATATGCATAAAAGGGTAGTTTTAATAGAAATATGAGAATGAAATTTCTTACGTTAACAATAATATTTATAATAATATTGTTATATAATCGGATATGTAAAAATATATAAGAAAAGTATTGTTGATTATTGTTTAATAACGATGCTATATGACAGGGGTTCTCAAATTTTGCATAGCATAAAAAATATCAAACGATATAATATATCATTATAAAAGCATTTAATTAATTTGCATTAACAAAATTAATACATATATTTATATAAAATTATATATATGTATATACATTTTTTACATAAATTTTAATAAAATTAATACATAATAAAATTAATTTTTTATAATTAAAGAATAAAATATTTTAAATTAATATTATTTAATTATATTCGTAAGTGAAATCTATTACAATATTAAGATACGATTTTCTGAAAATTTATAGAAATATATTTTGCGTTAAAATTGTATTAACAAAAAAATAATTAAACGTACAATAGTTTGAAAAATAATGACTCTATTATTACATTGTTCAAATATATGTTTTAATTTCCATGAATTTTTTTTGTACAATTTATATAAAACAAAAAAAGGAATAAAGATATACAAAGTGTCCTCTAATCGTAAATATATTTTACGAAATGTAAAATTTACGTTATATTTAGAGAGGGGGAGGGGGGTGAGAGGCCATTATAAAATTTTCAGAAAATTCAAATTGTTTTTGACGTAAAAACCTCCTCAGAGTTTTAAAATACAACGAAAGAAGTTTTCATAGAGGTAATAAATTTTGAAATATCTATTTTTAGGTACACTTGCTTAGTGTTTTGAGTTATGTTAAAATTTAAAAATTATAAAATCTAAAAAGAAAAAAAAACTTCATCTTGTAAAATGTCCGGCAAATTCATGACCTTAATTTATATAATCGATTTATTTGAAATTTATACAAAAGTTACTTAAATCTATTATCAATTGAAGTATGCAAGATTTGTTTCGCGAAAAAATTAAACTTTTTCTTTTTTTTAATGAACATTTTTATATGAAATTTTACATTGAAAATTACATTGAAGAAAGTTCATTTTGATCTAAAAAAAAACTAAAATTTTTCAATTATACCACATACTTCGAAAGATAATATTTTTTAAAACTGAGAAATTGTTTAGTTTTTCTTTTTTTATGTCAAAAATTAAAGAAGAAATTTTGCGATTTTTTAATGACTTGCAATTAAAAAATTTGCAAATGTTGTTGAAAAAAAAGTGTATGCAATAAAATTCTTTAAACGAATTTTTCTTTAAACTTATCATATTTTATAAAAATTTCTTTATAAAATTTTATAAAGTTTTATAAAAAATTCTTAAATTAAATTATTAAATAATATTGTTCAGATTTGTTGAAATACTAATCTTCTCACATTTATCATTAATATTTAATATTAACTATATCAAAACGTTATTTCAAATCAACATTGTATTTCAATCAAATAATATTAATATTTAATGATAAGTTTTTGTCTTTTTCTTATAAGAGAGGGATCTTACCTATTAAATTATTAAATAATATTGTTTAGATCTGTTGAAACACTTAATATCCTTGATCATTAATATTTAATATTAACAATATCAACGTTATTCCAATCAATATTATTTGATTTTACTTCAATCAAATGATATCAACATTTTAATGATATGTTTTTGTCTTGTTTTCTTTATTACAATGTTTCACGTGGTGCCAGTTAATTAAAAATTCAATCTCGATGATCAATATTATCAACAAGATATTATTCTAAAAGACATTATGCATTTATTTTTATTTTATCATTGCAAATAAATTGGTTAAATATTATTTAACTTGGAATATTAAAAAATAAACGTTTGATCAACCCATCATTGATCTTAGAATCTTATTGTTTTTCTTTTGCCTCTAGTATGACATATCTTAGCAGAGAGTAGGTCTATTCTGCAAATATAGTCCCTCGTGAATAATAGAAGGCACCAGGTAAAGAGTAGGAGGACAGGTAGGAAAGTATGCAACGTATCCGGCAGTCGTTCACGTATACCCCGTATGTTCTGTTGGCTTTATTAAAATCGTTTAGTTTTTAATACGAAAAGAAATTTTTGTTTTTAAAGTAGAATAATTTCGATACGTGATATAAAAAAGAAAGAAAGAAAGAAAAAGAGAGAGGGAAAATTTAAACGAACGAACGTGGTACAAGGAACGTAATTTACAGTGTGAGACAAAAACAAACAAAAAGAAAGAAAAAGAAAAGAAAGGAAAATTGTCGATCGAAAGTTTTTTTCGATGTAGCATTCCAGTGTTTCATTATTTTATGAGTAAGTGTGTACAGTCAGTTAAAAAAAAAAGAAAATCAATTGGATTATTACATCATAAAGAATTTTTTGTATTCGTAATAATTGTCAATATTGTTAAATTAAAAACACTTTTTGCAGGAATTACAAATGAATCCAACAACATTGAAAAATTGGTTGTTGCGCGGGGAGTTGGAAAAACTTGAAAATATTGTATTGGAGGGACGTGGAGCACGTTTGTTGGGTGAACATTCACTGGATCTTAGAACTCGTGTCTTCCTTAAGGGATTACCGAATTATTTGGTAATATGAATTGTGTATTTCAGTTAAATCGTAATAAACATTGCTAGAAAATTATTTACAATGGATTTATTATTAATATAAATCTATATTATTATATATTATTATATATTATTGTAATATATATGTACATTGGTACAAAATTATTTGAAAGAATTTATTAATAATATAAATCTATATTTTATTATATATTAATATAACCTAATTTATAGGTTATATATTTATATTAAATACAGAACCTATAATATAATATAATAAATATTATTTTATTTTTTATTACTTTATTTTATTTTAAATATTATTACTATATTAATAATACAATAATTAATTATTTTGATAGACGAAGATATCTCAAGCACACGACGCTGTTACGCGTGGTTCATTGGTTGAAACTCAAAGGATCATAACAGAAGAACCAAAAAAAAAATTGGCTATAGCTAAAGATCCTTCAGGTATACCGCTCATACATAAAGCGGTTTATTACGATCAACCAGAAATAGTCTCATGGCTCGTTAATAATTATCCAATTACGACTCAACAAAAAGACAAAGTGAGTTTGTTATTGCAAAAGATTTTAACGAATTTTGTGCATGAACGAACAAATTACAAAATCATATTTAGATAGAATCCTCCCTTTTATTGTCAGACGATTTTATTTGCTTGGAATATTCGTGGAAAATATCAATCGTTGTTTTGAGGGTAGATCGAATATTGGAAAGATTGAACCATTCGATGTTCTAGATACACGTAAATTCACATATTATAGCTTCTTCCTTCATCGCGTGACAGAAATAATATTGGAAAGTATAAAACCACCTGTTTTAGCCCTTTTAGTCATTTGCTTTCTTGTGTCAGTTCGACGCGCATCGTTTCTCACCCTCTCCGGTATAGTTGTTAACATTCTCCAAGGTTAAACTATTTTCTTCATTTCATAGGGGGTTTTTTTCCTTATTTTTTTTCCTATCAATAATTACAAACTAATAATATAAAATAAAAATAATAAGCTTCGTATAAGTAGTCGTATTTAGGTACCTAGATTACGTTGTTAATTATATTTTGTTTTGTTTTGTTCCTTTGTCTTCATTTTATACGAAAGGGACAATCCAAAAAGAGAATTCAATTTATTCAGATATATAATATTTTTAATATTAATACTTAATTAAATACTTTTTCTCCTTTTTTTCTTTTTTTCTTTTTTTTTTTTTTAGGAAGGTAGAACTGCATTACATTATTGTGCTGCCTGTAAAAATCCTGGTACAGTTTGGGACATTTTGATAGAGGGTGGCTGTGACGCCAGTGTTTGCGACAAACGTGGAAATCCGGCAGCATATTATTTGGAACACAGTTCTGAAGTTGAATTAGCTGAGACAGAAAAAATGCCTAATAGAAAATTCAGTACTACAAAAGAAGGTGAGCATATATGCATGCAATTGAATTTTTTAAAATAATTTATTCATTTTTTTCGTTATTTTTTTGCTAAATATTTACTCATAGTTACTTAACGTTAATAGCTTATTGTTAATCGCATTGAATTATTTGTCGATGACCTTGAGGGATATAAGTTTGATTATACATACTCGTAAGAATCGCAAATTTTCGTTCCCACGAAATAGCATATACCACGTATACCTATGTTTAATGAGTAACGACCATCGGAAGATCGATTAAGTATAAATTCGTAAGATAATTTGTGTTTTATAAAGTATGTTCACGATATATGTATCTATCGATAGTAACCAAAAAAAAAAATTATCAAATGTTTTGTGTAATTATAAATAATGTATCCGTTGTTTTTTTTTATTTCTATTTAATAAAAACTTGTTTGATCATTAGATATTGGATTTTAGTTACAGAAATATTCGTATACACTGTAAAATGTAAAAAAATTGATACCTGCTTCTAAATTCTTTTTTAAAATACTTTTTTATACAGAAAAATATTTAAGGATTATTCAATTTTCAAATTGATATAAATTTGAAGATTGATCATTACAGAAGAAATGATCAAATTAAAAAAAAACGATTGAATGTGTGTTACGTGTAATTATAAATAATGTATCCGTTGTTTTTGTGTTTTTATTTAACGAAAACTTTTTTGATTATAAGATACAAGAGTTCTTGAATTTATTGTTAGTTAGAATATACAGTAAGTCACATGACTCACGTATACGTTCTCACCGTAAAATTTAAATACATATTTCTATTGTGTAACTTCCAAATTGTTTTTTATACAGGAACATATTTAAGGATTATTAAATTTTCAAATTGATATAAATTTCATTACAGAAGAAATAATCCAACTGAAAGAAATGATTAAATGTTTCTTGTAATTCTAAATAATGTATCGTTGTTTTTACTTTGTTTTAACGAAAATTTGTTTACTCATAAGATATTGGATTCTTTGAATTTATTGTATTTAGAATATACAGTAAGTTATAAGAGTATTCGTATCCTTCCCTCTGTAAAATTCAAATAACTCAAATAATACTTGCTTCTAATGTAGAATTTCAAAATTCTTTTTTATACAGAAACATTTTTGATCATGTTGATCATAAGATATATAGAACTTTTTGAAATTATTGTTAGTTAGAATATACAATTAGTTACAGGAATATTTTTATCCACTGTAAAATTCAAATAATTGATACTTTCTTTTAATGTGTCATCTCAAAATTCTTTTATACAGAAATATATTTAAGGATTATTCAATTTTCAAATTGATATCAATTTGATAACAGTACAATATTATATTTTTAAAGAAATATAATTTTACATAAATGATAACAAAATTGGTTTCACAAAAGTATCATACATACACAAGATATACCAAAAATACAATTATTATTTCTTTTATATGTATATTGTTGATCCTTCTTTTTACATCGTTTAATTGCATTTTTGCATCTTTTGAGACAATTGGATTTAATTTGAAATTAATTTTTAGAACAATTTTGAACAATTTTAATTTCTTTACAATGTAATACAATTGATATCAATTTATAAGTTTAATAATTCTGACATATACATTTCTTTCTGTAAAAATTTAGAAAAAAAAATATTGTATTGCAATTAATACGAATTCAATGAACTAGTATGTTATGACCTTTAGATGACTTTGAAAACAAAGAAATGAATACAAAAGGTCGATAATAACTTGTATTTATTATTAAAATACAATTTATTGTTTTAAATTGACAAAATGGGATTACGAATACTGTTTCATAAATTTTCGTTTTTTCAATGATGAATAAAAGACGATATTTTTGTATTTAGAATCACAAAACGTTTTAAATAATAGCCTACGTGTCAAATTCTGGTAAATTCGACTTCTTAGTTATTTCTCGCGTTGATATACAACAATTATCTTTTACCGAGTATATATATTTTATTCTGATCCTTTTCAACCTCATAAATTTTATTAAACAAATTTTTTAACGTTTTTAATTAATGAAATTTTATTAAACAAATTTTTTAACGTTTTTAATTAATGAAATTTTATGATAAATTTAATAATACATGTACATAAGGGTGGGTCAAAAAAATCAATTATTTTTTTTTTTACAAATGCCACGGATAAATGGGTTGCTAGACACCTTAAAAAAATTCTCACCAAATATGAACTCTTAATTTTAATAGGAAGATCCTCAGCATCACAGTTTTTTATTTTTTTCTCAGTCCAATAGGATAAAATTCATACCTCATCATTAATTGATTGTACAGAAAAATGTTCTGGAAGAATTTTGTAGGAAATTTAATGCTCTACAAAAAAGGTATCTTATATTTTTTCCGTAAACCTCACCATTTGAATGATATTGGTGATTTAAATTTGATGATTTTTAGACAAATTTCATTTTTGTTTATGAATTTTATAACTCGACAATAAATGACTATTATAAGATACGCAATACAAATTTTTGTAGGAAATTAACTGCTCTATAAAAATGGTGTCTTATGTTCTGGCGATTAAATTAAGCGTTCAAAAGATATTYAGAGACAGAAATCAGTACACATGAAAGTTTGATAATGAGTATCTTAATTGAAAATGAGTATTAATATTTACTTGTAATACAAACTTTCAAAATTCTTATACACAAGAAACATTTTTTAGGATTATTAAGAAAAAGCAACATTTTATTATTATAGAGAAGTATAATTTTAAATAAATTAGATAACAAAAAATTGTTCTCACAAAAATATTAGTCCCTTTACATGAAATATAAAAAAAATAAAATGATAAAAAAATATATTTCTGTAAATAGTAAATTTGATTCTCCAATCAACTTTATAATGCTTTTGAAATAATTGATCATATCTTGTGACATCAACTATATATTAACTCTCATTGTCAGTTGTGTCTACTTTAGCTTATTTTATAATAAAATTGCAATCTTTTGCAATAAAATTGATATCAATTTTAAAAATTAAATAATCTAAAGATATATTTTCTATTATATAAGAATTTGAAAATATATTATTAATTGTTTAGTATTATACTATTATTAAGTTATATATAATTTATTATTATTATTATTATTATTAATTGGCATTAGGAACTCGGAAGTTCATTGCCGCAAATACCAAATCCCGCCA